GGTCCCGACCTACCAACGTAAATCAAAAAGGGGTGTAATAGATTTCTTACGGGTGCCTTACAGGGGGATGGGGGGGGGTCAAAAAGTGGGCATAAATGCCTTACGTAAAACTTCAACGGCTCCTGACGTTGCGGACTTTCTGTTATACTTCTTTTTTTCTTTTGAGAGCTAGAAAACGCAATTTCTTCAGAAATTCCTTGATTTTTCCTCTCTGTCAGCATACTATATTCTGTATAAATTTCAATCCTTATGATTGGCTTATTTTTCATCGAAAAAATCAAATAGGAGCGGAAATTCTTAAACACCGGAATGAAAATCCGTGGTTTCGCTCTTTGGCCGTCGATATATTCATCTCCTTAGATGATACCATGTTTTGAGTAAGTTATTTCATTTCAAATGTGGGGGAAAGTTGCTGGTTTTGGTGTAATTTACTCAGGGGACTAAAACTCAGAATACCCCATAAAATGCCCTCATCTCGATGCTAGGTGCTAAAAACAGGTCGAATTTCAAATGCTGGCGTGGAGGAGGGCACTTGACCCCCGTAGTAATGACCTCGACCCTGTTCCCGAGTGTCTTGACGTCAGATTGTCCGTGGTCATGGTCGGCACCAAGCTTGAATCAACATCAAATATGTGAACTCGCGCCAGTGAAGAACCAGCTGCATCAAGAAAGGACCGTTCCCATTTTTGGATGAGCCGTGAAGTGCATAAGAGTACATGCAAACTAGGACTCGTCTAAAGATGGACTTGGTCCCTTTTGAGGACAACTAATTCGAAAATCGTGCCGATGGGTGGTCGCGATGCGGCGCGTGCCATTATGTCCTTCCTCTTCGTCGCGATCGTCCGAATGTTCGAACGCAACTCACGATGTTTCTCTTTCTTTGCCAAATGTCACCCGTTTTCGTTTCTTCACCCGTGGGAAGTCGTCCGCTTGGATTCTCCCCCGCGGAATCTCGTGCAGTTTCGATTAGAAAGACCAACTGAGAGGCTTGACATGGTGTCTAGAACGGGACAAACCGAGATTCATCAGGGAATAAAAATTGACAGGGAAAGTCAGGGGAATTTGCTCCAGATACCGGGAATCTATTCTTTTACCGCTTAGGGATCATTTCATTTTCAAATTTGGCGGTCTTATCTGACCGAGCGCTATTATTGACTTCTTGAATTACACATTTGAAGCTTCAAATCATCCAAAGAATGGAGAAGCTTTCATTGACCATGTAGTATAAACATCAGGAACGCTATCGGAATTAAAATTTTGAATGTGCGCCAAAGCAATGGCTGAAAGATGAATTAAAATCGATATTCATTTACGGAACTCTGGAGAGTTACATTCTTTTCCAAGAACCCTAGCCGAAGAACTGGACCGTAAACAAAAAAGGGCTGAGTCACATTTTAGAAAAGAAAATTAATTAAGAGTAGTTTTAGCTCAAATAGCTGAAACATGTGATCTATCAACAATTCAAAGTCTTGAAAATATATTTGGAGTATGAAAGTTGGAATTACACTTTATCGTTTGTATTGATTCTTACGGCAGGAACCGAGCTTCAAACCGATTTTCCTCGAATTCAAATTGCTGTGACTTAAGTAGTAAATTCTTGTTAACTTCGGTTCAAATTCCATTCTTATGTAGACTTATGTAGAACTTATCGTGTACTAAAAATTTCTCAACCCGAACCAGAGCAAATCAAAACTATCTACAGGCACAGAGCTTTTAAGTGTAGTAGCTGTTCCTCCGCGAAACTTGCCCTCTCTATAGTCTCTGTCCCCTGAGGAAAAATCTAAAATCTGTCAGCGCTGCGCCTCTTACAGCCATTGAAGAGAAGAGACCGGAACAAAACTCAGAAAAGGAACTCCCGATTCGGCAAAAAACGATGCGTGTTATGGAGAGCGAAGTACTTGAAGGGCCACTTGAAGTCAAGGATCGGTGTCCAAGAATGATATTCAACAAGAAGGAAACTTTCCTGCTGATGAGAGAATGTTTGTTGCCTGCTGTTCTGGAAAAAAACCTGGCATGTCGGACCAATCCCTTTTATCAGCTTGTGAGAACAAATCGTGTTCCAAGTCGGTGTAATATATTTTGAACCTCCTGGAACGTTGGAGATAGACCATTCTTCATTATTATACGTAGAAAACTAATCAAATTATTTTTTTAAAATTTCCATGATTTTCCTTTGACTCACAAAGGTCATTTTGGAAACGTCTCAAGACAATTTTAATTTTTTCCCCCCTTCTGAAAGACATATAGCGGACGCATAATCGTGTCGCTTTTCTGACGAAAAGGCTCAATTTTATTCCTATCGCATCTATATAATTCCATATAGGCTGCAGTTTCCTATGAGGAACTACAATGGAGATGTTGCATGTGTGAGGAATTTGCGATTTCACTATTGATTCTTATGTAAAAGTTTACGAGAAACACGATGGTATCACTGGTTTTCTCTGAAAGTAACTCCCAAGCTCAAAAAAAGCTCTCAAGTTGAGGTCAAAATGGAGGGGATATCACACGCTACCCTGAAAGTCCACTTCGACATCAAGATGAACTCTCCATGCATGGAAAGGGAGCAAATACATTGACAGGGCTGTCACTTTATTTGGGGACTCTAAAACTAAAAACACGGCATCACTGCTAATGTATTTGCCCCCTATCTTTGCATGGAGAGCTTGTCTTGATGTAGAGATGGACTCTCAGGGTAGGGTGGGATATCCCCTCCATTTTGGCCTCAACTTGAGAGCTTTTTTTGAGCTTGGGAGTTGATTTCAGAGAAAACCAGTAGTACCGTAGTGTTTCTCGCGAACTGTTACATAAGAATCAATAATGAAATCGCATATTCCTCACACATGCAACTTCTCCATTTCTGGCTCATCCAAAAAATCACTTATCTACAAAAGGAAACTGTACGTACGTTGTCCCTGAAGGGAGCCTGACTTAGCAGTTGCTCATGGCAAAAATTTAGTCCAAACACGCTTTCCAGGGTTCACGTTAAGATTGAACCGCACCGTTAGCTCAGAGGAGCGACAATTTGTGAAACACCAAAATTAAGGAACCGTTTTTGAACTTTCCCCAGCAATACATAAAACCCCTTTATCTTTTTGATACTTGGATGACGTGCAAAATCCACCTTTCACGACCTGTAAAATCCATCACAAGCAGGAGGCCTCATATTCGACTGTTTTACAAAGTTTAGCTCCCTCCAGGGTTCTCCTAGCAACCAATCAATCTCCTCTACGATCGTTATCTTCACTTGCAATCCGCCCGAATCTTGATTGATCGCTTCAGACGGCATCCGGATCGGGATGCTTTATACTACCTCGCTTGAATTTAGAGGGAATTTCAAGCTCGCGCATGGACGGGTTTTGCACTTGTTTTCGTGCATTCTTAATGGGCGCAACCGAGGGAATAACATTATTGTCGTAAAGATTAAAACAATTTTACTTCATTAAATGCAATTGCCAAATTTCTAAAAAAAATCAATTTTTCTTTTCAATTTCAATCATTTGATGTATTGAATGCATGTCGACGGTGAAACTAACAGACTACGACTACGTATCTCGGTTTGCAACGTTGCAGACTTCCTGTCATACTTAATTTTTTAAGCTAAGAACCACTCAACGTTAATTCTTGAAAACTTTCGTGATGTCTCTCCTCGTGCGAAGAACACTCTAAGAAAACTTTAAAGGTTGATTCTAATTTGTTTTCCTTTAAAAAAATGAATTGTGAGTGGAGATTTTCACCGTCGATGCGCCTCGTTTGGCCATCGCCTCCATTTTGAAGTTTAACAAAAATTGAACCGCGTTAAGCAGAAAGGAACCAAGACCCATATCAGCCATTGTCAAATTTAATTGGGCAATTTTATTCTTTACATAAAAATGGTTGTGCGAATTTTTGTACAAATTTCAGTGAATTTTCTGCGTAGTTCGAAGCGGATTCCCAAAAATTTTTAAAAGAATCCGCACAAATTTTCTCCTGTAAAAATTAAGTTACTCGGTTAATGTTGGCAAAAGCTGACAGACTTTGGTGCTTTCCTGCTAAATGCAGTCCAATCCGCAAAACGTCCGAAAGTATACGTCATTCCTGCAAAAACTAAAGTTGATATTCCACTGAGTGATGCATATTTTGTTAAAATGAGGGATAAGTTAAAACACAAAGAGATTAAATGAGGATCCGAATTCTTGCAATCGGGCAACCATGCTCACTCTGACAAGGTTGCATAATTCCGTTTGGCGGGAATCGCTGAGGGCGGGGCGAATGAGGGGAAAAAAGTTTTCGTTTTCTTTAATCTGGAGAGAAATTCGTTTGATCTGACCGCCTCGTATTAAAAAACTCGGTTGATTTAAGTTGACACATTCGGAACGGAACCTTGGCCGTGAATGAAATCACCATTGTTAACGTGATGATTTTGAAAAGGAAAGCTCTTGAAACCTGAATGCCGTTCAAAGAGTATATCCACGAAGACTAAAAAACGAAACTACTATTTTTATTATAATACTATTTTATGATCTTGCGAATTGCATTATTTTGATACTAAATCCACCAGTCCAAGGACTTTTCCCCCTTTTTCTCTCTTCCATTGTCTACTGAGAGTTTTGGAAATTTTACGAAACGATCATCTTTATTATAATACTCACGCTATTATATTTTGCGGATTGCATTATTTTAATACCAAGTCCAATTGTCCAAGGACTTTTCCCCCTTTTTCTTTCTTCCATTGTCTACTGAGAGTTTTGGAAATTAAATTCCCGCATCATGGTCGGCAAAATTATCGAATTTCCTGTTCCCACCTTCCACGACAACGGCTCCAGCTTCTTACTGATACTGCTCGATCGGCGCGGCGTGTCTGAAG